GGCGGTCTCTTCATGAGCAGTTTGTCCATCCTCGATGAAATTATTGATTCTCACCTCCAGCAATATCTTCATGATATTTTATGGGTATCTTTGAGAAAACAGCAAGCGGCAGTCTCTTCATGGACAACTTGTATGTTATCAACACTTTTTAAAAACAGCAAGCGGCAGTCTCCTCATGGACAACTTGTATGTTATCAACACTTTTTGAAAACGGAATGTGGCAGCTTCTTCATGAGTAGCTTGTACGTTAGTATTCTTTGAAGACAACAAGTGGCAGCTTCTTCATGAGCAGCTTGTGGGTTATTGGCAACAAGTGGCAGCTTCTTCATGAGTAGCTTGTACGTTAGTATTCTTTGAAGACAACAAGTGGAAGCTTCTTCATGAGCAGCTTGTGGGTTATTGGCAACAAGTGGCAGCTTCTTCATGAGCAGCTTGTGTGCTTTGATATTCTTTGAAGACAGCAAGTGGCAGCTTCTTTATTATTGGCAACAAGTGGCAGACTCTTCATGAGCAGCTTGTGTGCTTTGATATTCTTTGAAGACAGCAAGTGGCAGCTTCTTTATGAGCAGCTTGTGGGTTTTTGGCAACAAGTGGCGGACTCTTCATGAGCAGCTTGTGTGCTTTAATATTCTTTGAAGACAGCAAGTGGCGGTCTCTTCATGAGCAGCTTGTATGTTATTGACACCTTTGAAAGGAAGCAAGTGGCGGCCTCTTTATTTGAGCAGCTTGTGTATCCCCAACAATAATGTCTACTCAGCAAATGGCATCCCTTCGGAAAAGTCCCGTGGGGAAGTTTGTTATTTTATCCTTTTCAAGCGATATCTTGGTTAAAGAAGAAATGTGTTACCGTTCTTGGTAAAATTCAGAAATCAGAGATGTTTATCTCCAGCCACAGTGCTGATGTCAATCATTTTGTTTTCCAGCCACAGTGCTGATGTCAATCATTTTGTTTTCCAGCCACAGTGCTGATGTCAATCATTTTCCAGTCTCAGTACTGATGTCAATCATTTCCTTTTCCATTCACAATGTTAATGTCAATCCTTTCCCTTCTCCAGTCTCAATACTGATGTAAATCATTCAAGAGTCTCTCATTTGAAGTCTATGACTTTGTTTCCCCAGTGGTGTTATAATCTGTTCCCCTGTAGGATTACTATAATATGCTTGGTTTCTCCAGCATAGTTTGCCTCATGCGGCATTGTTCCTCATTAAATTCAAAATATTACATTCATATCATATCATAAACATAATTGCGGTATCTTAAGGCCAAAAATTGTGTATTCTATATTTAAGTCCCTTCAATCTCGTCGAAATGAAGATTACAATATTTATATCTCCAGATAGAAGAAACTTAAATAGGGGCAGCTGTCATACCCCAATTTTTGACCTAAGGTCCCACCTCCCATCTGTGTCATTACATAGCAAGTGTTCACAAACAATTTGACCTATTTTTGCCATTTTTTGAGTCAGATTTCAAAAATTCATAACTTCTTCAAATTTCGACATTTTTAGTGGTTCTTTTACATATGATTCTCCTTGACAACGTCCACGACTTTTTTTTACAAGTCAAGAGCTGATTATTTTTGAAATTCCACGAAAGAATGAAAACGTTAGAAGTCGCTTTATGAATTTAATGAAATTTGATAATGTCTTGTCCAACCTTTACCAAATCGTGCATAGCGCATATTTTTTCGTCTTTTATTTATCATTTTTGTCTTATTTGAAAAAAATCTAAAAAAATATGTATTTTAGCTCATGTCACTTTTTACTATCGCATTATTAGAAAAATCACAAAAATATTTATAATTAGCATTATAGTATTTTAAATTCGCAATTCTTAATTCAAAAAAAAAAATAATATCAAAAAATATTATAATTTTATCGGTTTCATTTAGATTTTTATTTTAGTATAGATTTCAATCCAAAAAATCTCAAAAATATAGTTAATATCTTTTCCTTTATTTTAAATTTTTTTTATTCTTTTTGGTCATTATAGTTTTAGCTTCTTTTAATCCAATATTAATTTTGATTTGATTCTAATTTTAATTCAATTTTTAAAATTGAATTAATATTAAAATTAAAATAAAATTAATTTTGTTTGCATCCTATTTTTATTATTATTATTCTTCTGTTTTGTATTACTAACAAATTGCCTTTTATCATTATTATTACTATTATATTTGTTTTATTGTTTTATGTCCAATAAAGTTGTGGTCCCAAAACCAGATTTTTTGAACTTGCAAAACCAGTCATGTTACCTGCATAAAACATGTCCAACAATTGCATTAAAATAGAAAAACAATTTCCTGCATTGGAAAGGCACTAAACCAATGCATCAATTTGGTTTTTCATTTCAAAATCTTGGCTCCAAATTTCTCTCTCAAGAGTTGAATCCTTACTATATAATAGACATCTCATAACAAGGAAAAGGGGGGGTAACGGGAAGGGGTAGAAGCTGCGCTCAAGAGAGATCGAGGAATGATAAAAAAAAAAACGCTTCTCTTCATCTTTCTCAAGCTTCTGAATCCGCTTCCCCTTTATGATTTCATCACCAATACAACCTCCTCTGGAGCCACATACTTTCCGCGAGCTTCATAACTGCTCATCACTATCGCCGTTAAACCTATTGTTGTTCAACATCCCTCAATCTCAGCAATACACCCTCCGTCAATTCCTTCATCTCCCAACTATCATCGTTTCACTACCCCCCCCCCCCCCCCCCCCCCAGCTAACAATCAGCTTCATCCGTAAATCAGAACCCCTTCTTTCTCCTTAACAACAACACCAACGAACCTGCTGTCCGTCCCAATTTCTGTTACCAAAACTGATACTCCCTTCGTCGAACAACTTGCCATCGTATCCATTCTTCTTCCAATAATCACCTTGCCACAACAATCTCAGCTGTTAACCCTCAAATCTCTTTCATCTCCGCCAGCCAAACATCCATACCCCACAGCGTAACCTCCCTTTGTCCGCAACAATCTCTTCGTCACACAACAAAACTTTATCACCATCTTTACCAGTTCGCATAACTTCCGCAAGCATTTCTGTTCAACTGCTTCCGCCGTTTTCCAGCCTCTCAAACTAATCACGGTACCAATAGCCATCCTTCACTAAACACCATAAACATTTCATACCACACCTGCAAAATTCTCAACACAATGATTCAAAATTTTAAACCAATAACATAGTTCCCATCAAAACAACACTATAATAGTAAGGAGGAAAAGGATACCAGAGATTGAATCATTGTTGTAACAAAGAAAACTCATGAAAGCTTTCGAGACAACCATTGTTGCACCTTCGAAAAATCGACGGTAACTTCTCCCAAACACAACTCCCAGCTAGCGCCGCAACCGATTGGAGCCAGCCCCTCTGTGAGTGGTAGAACCTCAACCGTCTGAGCTCAGATCGCGATTACCCTCTGCTACTCCGCCGATCTGCATCTCCACCGTACATCCAAGCTATATTCGGCCACCACTTCATCAATCGATTTTCCATCAGATCCGACAGGTAATTTTGTTTCTTTCCTTGATTATATTTTTTGTTGTTGTGTGTATTTATATGCCATTGAATAAAATGGTGTGTATGGGTTTTGGTTGTGTTTCCATGGAGTAAAAAAAAGAATAAAAATGGGGAAGAAGAAGTTAATGAGAAGGAATGTGTCTCTCGGTGTGTGTTAATGTGTTGTTAATATGATATATCTTTTAGTTTATTCATTTTAATCTTGATCTTTTCCACTTGTTAATTTATTATTGGTCCTCTATGATAATTGGAAAAAAAGGTATAAAAAGAAACTTTGTAGATGGGTGATGCTGAAAGAGGCACCCCTGTATCGTTCCCGTGTGCATTTTTTTCATTTAATTTTAGGTTTTGTACATTGCATTAGTTACATTATTTATCGTTATGTTTCAAAGAAAATCAACTCATTCCATGGCCAATCATCTATTTTAACAATTTTCATTAATACCAATCATTTCAATATATTTCTAACCTCACTCATGAAATAATCACCTTTTTTAGTCATATTTAGTTATCATTAATCTTTGTTATTAGGATTGTTACCTGAGTTATTTAGAATTAGGTTGTTAACCAATTTAGTTTATTTGTTATAATAACATACAAAACGCAAAAAGATAAAAAATATACTTTTTGTTTATTAAGTTATTTAGTTTGTTATATTTAATCTTTTATTTTATTTAATAATTACCATTATAAAAATACATGAACATTAATAATACAAAATTCCAAAAAGATATTAGTTTTATTAGGTAAATAATTAACGTTGTCTATATTTTTAGGGTTTCTCCTGATTAATTAATTTGTAAGTAAATTCACATGTATATAAATTACTAATTATTAACTAAAAATCAAAAAAATAATAAAAACTATTATTTTCTCATCTCTCTAATTTTATTTGCAAACAATCAATTTTAGCCTTAACACAGATATTTCAAAAGGTTCCTGCGGAGTACCGCAGATGCATTGGGTACTAATACCTTCCCATTGCATAACCAACCCCCGAACTCTCAATCTCTTTTCAAAAACACATTGTATTACTTTATTTTACATTGCATGTTTTTTTAGGGTTTTATTTCGCTCTTTTCCCTTTTTCCTTGGAAATAATAAAGCGCGGTGGCGACTCTTGCTTTTGTGAGTCAAGTTAATTAATAGCTTGATCTCTGATTTTCACCGCTACACATACCTGCATTGTAAAGGGAAGAGGGACCCTGCTGTGTTGCACTCCTATATTGGCTAGGTTGTTTATTTCACACCTACCTCGATATGTGTTGAAGAATGAGAAGGGCTTGAGATGGTCTAATAGGTTGATGTCCCTCACACATTCCAATATTCATTGGTGTCCTCGATCCTTGGAGAATGTCACCATCATTGACCGCTGTGGAGAATTCCCTAATGACCCTCTCCTAGGCATTAAGGGAGAAATCACTTATAATCCTTATTTGGCGTTACGACAGTTTGGCTATGCTAGGAGGGATGGTTCTCATGATACACTTGTCCAAGGAATCGTATTCGACTATGAGAATGATGTTCAGGGCTATCGCCAGAGGTTTATAAGAGCTTGGGGCATGGTGAACAAAGTTGATAGAAAAACACCGAGGCATAAGAACTCCATTCCTTTGGAGCCTTATCTTAAGTGGGTACAATCCCGTGCTCAAAATCTCAGGATGCCTTATGATGCTAATCTACCCATCATCATGGAGCCCGTTGCTGAAGGAGACACTCCTTACATTGTTCTTCATCCTGACATGCCGACTAATTTCGAGGAGTTACAAAAATCCAGGATTCAACTCAAAGAGGAAGGAGATACCTTTGAAACCCAATTCTACGCCAGCGATAAGAAGGTTTTAGAGCTCACCAGGCTACTTCACGAAGAGAAGAGTATAAATTCCTACATTGCACCAAAGAGGATGCGCTCGTGGGAAACTTGAGTCCTTTTTTTCTCTTTGAGAATTAATTTTTTCTTTGTTACTGTAAGCCCAAGAGGCATCATTGTAACCGCTTAAATTTCTTAATGCAATTAACATTTGTTTTCCCTTTGGCTAAGCAAGTTTAAGTCTTAGAAATCCTTGAAAACATTGCATACATATATCATACATATCATTACATAAATAGGTTTCAGGACATGCTTTTTATCTTATTCACTGTTTGTTTCAACAATGGCTCTTGAGCAAACAGTTAAGGAGCTTCAGGAACATAATGCTCAATTCTAAGAAATGTTCCTGAATCTGGCTAAGGGACAAGAAGATTTGAAAGCTCTGATTCTCAAGGACAAGAAGAAGAAAAAGAGGCTAGTGGGTGTTTTGAATTTGGGAAGAAGGTTCAAAGGACCAGTGAAGCAAGTTTCAGAGCTTGCAACTCTGTCAAGAGAGAGAGACAATCAGGAAGGAGAGCCAAGAGAAGAAGACCACAGTACAAGGGAGTCTGAAGAAGATGAATTTGACTATTCTGAGGAGCAGTATCCTCCTGCTGATGATAAATACAAACAGCTGGAGGATCGGCTCAATCCCATGGAGATCCAAAGGGTGCTAGTGTTGGATTTTGAAGAGCTAGGACTGGTCTTAGGGGTGGTCATTCCACGAAAGTTCAAGGTCCCTAAATTTTCTAAATATGATGGTGTCTCTTGTCCTAAGCTACATTTAAGGTCGTATGTCAGGAAAATTCAACCCCACATCACTGATAGGGATCTGTGGGTACACTTCTTCCAAGAAAGTTTGACAGGGACTCAGCTGTAATGGTTCTATCAACTAGAAAGAACCAATGTGCGTAATTGGGAAGATATGGCTGCTGCTTTCTATAAGCAGTAACAATATAATGCTGACCTCGCCCCGACTCGTACACAGTTGCAAAGTATGTCTATGGGTTCCGGCGAGGGTTTTAAGGACTATGCCCAAAAATGGAGAGACCTTGCGGGAAGAGTCTAACCTCCGTTGTCTGATAGGGAGCTGGTGGACATGTTCTTGGGCACATTATCTGGGCCATTCTTTAATCATATGATTGGAAGTTCTTCTGCTGGGTTTACTGAATTGATCTTGACTGGCGAACGGGTAGAAGCCGGCATTAAAAGTGGTAAAATACAAAGAGATGCATCCTCCAGTACTGCAAAGAAACCATTCACAGGGAAGAAGGAGGTCAGTGCTGCTTATGGCCAGAGAAATCTTAATAAAATTGAGTTTCGTCCGACGGTAGGGGCTGTTATGATTTCCAATCCTGCATCAAATCGGCAATAGAATAATCAGTCTAGAACCGATAAGCCAAGGAGACAGTTTACCCGGATCAACATGAACCTATCTCAGGTTTTACCACACCCGCTGAAGTCCAATTTGATTACCCTAAAAGAGGTTCCCAAAAACCCCAACACTACATCTCCTCACTATAATACAAATGCTCGGTGTGGTTACCATTCTGAAAGTCCAGACCATGACACCAACGACTGTTGGGCTTTGAAGAACAAGCTGCAGGATTTGATTGAAGCAAAGGAGATTGAATTTGACACTCTTGAAACTCCAAACTTCATAACTGCACCTATTCCCAAACATGGCTCGGGAATCAATGCTATTGATGTTGTCTCTACCAAAGAAGATGTTCATGGTAACTATGACTTGGACAAGTGGATCTTACCAACCATCAATGGTGGACTCAGCAACTGGGAGGCTAAAGATTTTGTTCCCGTCTCTTTTATTCAAGAGTAATTTGTCTTTTGTTTTAAGGTAATGTAATATTTAAACAATTGAAACGTTAAATCCTTGTGTCTTACTCAAGGCGTAATGGTTTATTTGTGAGGGTTATCATGTTTCATTTTCATATGTCACTAATAAAGCATTGGACGTTTTTTACATACAAATTTTGCGTTATCTGCCTTTCTTTTCTGCTTTTTACTTTATCAAAGCAGCTATGCTCTTACACACACTCACATATCAAACTGAAGATCCACATCCACTCTGGATCCCATTGATAACAGTTCTGCTATTTCTCATTATGACTTTGAAAATCCGATCGACCAAGCCGAAGACGAAGGTGAGGAAGATTGTAAGGTACCGGGAGAGCTTGCCAGACTGTTACAACAGGAAGAAAGGGCAATACATCCTAATGAGAAGCCAGTTGAGACAGTGAACTTGGGTACTGAAGAGGACAGAAAAGAAGTCAAGGTAGGTGCTAACTTGGAGCCTAGTGTCAAACAGCGGTTAATACAGATGCTACATGACTATGTTGAGGTTTTTGCCTGGTCGTACAAAGACATGTCGGGACTTGACACCGATATTGTGGTTCATCGCCTACCTACAAAAGAGGATTGCCTTCCAGTGAAACAGAAGGTTCATCGTATGCGGCCGGATATGTCAGAAAAGATCAAGGTTGAAGTCATGAAACAATTCAACGCCGGTTTCTTAGCTGTCATGTCTTATCCACAATGGATCGCCAATGTTGTTCCGGTACCTAAGAAGGACGGTATGGTACGTGTGTGTGGACTACAGATACCTGAACAGGGCAAGCCCCAAAGATGACTTTCCGCTTCCCCACATTGATATTCTGGTTGACAACACCGCACAACATAACATATTATCCTTCATGGATGGTTTCTCCGGGTATAATCTGATCAAGATGGCACCTGAAGACATGGAGAACACAACCTTAGTCACACATTGGGGAACTTTCTATTACAAGGTTATGCCATTTGGGTTGAAGAAAACTGGGGCAATCTATCAATGAGCCATGGTAGCTTTGTTTCATGATATGATCCATCACGAGATATAGGTCTACGTGGATGATATGATAGCCAGGTCTCAGACTAAAGAGGAACACCTTGATCACCTACATAAGTTATTTGATAGGCTGAAGAAACACAAACTAAGGTTGAATCTGAATAAGTGCACCTTCGGAGTAAGATCCGGTAAGCTCTTAGGTTTTGTTGTCAGTGGCAAAGGCATTGAAGTGGATCCTACAAAGGTCAAAGCTATACAAGAAATGCCAACTCCTCGCACTAAGAAGGAAGTTAGGGGATTCTTGGGACGTCTGAACTACATTTACAGGTTCATTTCACATCTGACTGCTACTTGTGAGCCAATCTTCAAATTACTAAAGAAAGATCAAGCAGTGAAATGGAATGACGATTGCCAGTATGCCTTTGACAAAATCAAGGAATATCTCTAAGAGCCTCCAATTTTGATGCCACCAGTTGAAGGAAGACCTCTGATCATGTACTTAACATTATTAGAGAACTCAATGGGGTGTGTGCTGGGGCAGCATGACAAGTCTGGTCGAAAAGAGCATGCAATATACTACCTTTGCAAAAAGTTTACTGACTGTGAAACAAGATACTCACTGCTCAAGAACACCTGATGTGCTTTGGCATGGGATGCTTGCCGACTAAGGCAGTATATGCTGACTCACACTACCTTGTTGATATCTAAAATGGATCCTATCAAGTACATCTTCGAGAAGCCCGCTCTCTCCCGAAGAATAGCAAGATGGCAAATGATCCTGACCGAATTCGACATCCAATACACAACCCAGAAAGCAATCAAGGGAAGTGTACTAGCTGATCATTTGGCTCATCAGGTTGTGGATGACTACCAATCCATGAATTTTGAATTCTCGAATGAGAATATCATGTTAGTAACTGATTGTGAAGAACCTGGACCGGATGAAGGACCTGAAAAAGGATCCTGGTGGACCATGGTTTTTGAAGGAACTTTGAACGTGCTTGAAAATGGCATCGGCGTTGTGATCATATCTTCTGAGGACTGTCATACTCCTTTCACTGCCAGGTTATGTTTCAATTGTACCAACAATATGGCTGAGTATGAATCATGTATCATGGGTCTCAAAGTTGCAATCGATTTAAGGATCAAGTTCTTAAGTGTGTTTGGAGACTCAGCTTTGGTAATCAGCCAGATCAAAGGAGAATGGGACATGAAGCATCCTAATCTCATCCCGTACAAAGAGCATGTGTTGACACTAATCCCATACTTTGAAGAAATTAACTTTGAGCATTTTCCACGAGAGGAAAATCAACTAGCGGACGCGCTAGATACAATGTCATCCATGTTTAAGGTCAGGTGGTATAATGAGGCTCCTCAGATCACCATTGAAAGTATGAATGAGCCAGCATACTGTCACGAGATTGGTACTGAAGAAGTAGTGGACAAGCCTTGGTTCCATGAAGTCAAGAGATATCTCAAAGCCCAAGAGTATCCCGAGGGAGATTCGGTCAATGATAAGAAGTTCCTAATAAGGTTCTCCGCTAAGTTCTTTCTCAATAACGGGATCCTCTACAAGCACAATCACGACTCTACCTTGCATCGGTGTGTAGACAAGAGTGAGGCAGAAAAGATTATGGCTGACTTGCACGAAGGTACCTTTGGCACTCATTCTAATGGTCACTCAATGGCTAAAAAGATCCTACGGACAGGATACTAATGGTCCACTATGGAAGTAGACTGTTATCAATATTCACGAACTTGCCATAAATGCCAGATCTATGCTGATAAGGTGCATGTACCTCCAGTTCCTCTAAACATCTTGACTGCTCCTTGGTCGTTCGCAATGCGGGGAATCAATATGATTGGGGAAATCAGACCTACAGCTTCTAATAGACATCGCCTTATCCTCGTCTCCATTGATTACTTCACAAATGGGTCGAGGCAACTTTATTTGCCTCCGTTACCTAGAACGTTGTGTCCCGATTTATCAAACATAACATTATTTGTCGGTACGGTATCCCAGAAAGAATCATTATAGATAATGGTACCAATCTCAACAACACTTTGATTACCGACCTTTGCACGCAATTCATAATCCAGCATCATAACTCTTCTCCCTACCGGTCGAA